CCTCTCTCTCTCTCTCTCTCTCTCTCTCTCTCTCTCTCTCTCTCTCTCTCTCTCTCTCTCTCTCTCTCTCTCTCTCTCGTTCTCTCGTCGCCACTTTGCCTCTTCTCTCTCCCTACTGCACTACCTACGGCTACTCTCTCCCTGTAACAAACCCCCACTTTCATCCCCCGGTGGTAGTCGGATCGTGCGCTCTCCGTGGCGAGTCGAATCGGGAGCGTTTCCATCCCCTACTAACAGCAACGAGCAACCCCACCCTAGACGCGAGGAGGGAAACCTCCTCTATCGCCAAACGGGATATGAAGGAGGAGAGAGAGAGAAAGAGAGAGAGAGAGAGAGAGAGAGAGAAAAGGTACGCGCATATCGTAGTCGTCGCCTATTCCGCCACTCTCCACCCCTCATCCTCGTCGCGGAGCGCCTCGGTGCGCCTCGCGTCTCTTTATATGCTTGGGAACTTCCATCCCTCGCTCCCTACCTTCGTGCCGATCTCGCCCCCGAATCTCGCACTCTCGACATATCGAATGCTACGTCACAGCGGAGAGATATACGGCTATTTCGCAAAGTGGTTAAATGCACTACCAGATTACGGGACGGAGGGCGGTTCTAGCGCCCAGCAGCCAGCGGTGCTGGGACTGGGGGGGGGGGGGGGAGCGATGATATCAGCCATCGGCTACATCGTAGAATTCCGCTATAGAATGCCGCGTGACGTCCGCACGATCAGCGATTAAAAGCGGGTCTCAGTATGTACGTATATTCTCTCTCTCTCTTTCTCTCTCTCTCTCTCTCTCTCTCTCTCTCATATTTCGTTCACATTTTTAGCGCTAAACTCACGCGTGTCCACTCACGCGCGATCCTCGTCGCTGTCACTGACACGATCCTTCTGTTGAACAAATAAGCGGCGATCCCTTGGGCGATTGATTAATTCTATCGTCGGTAATTCAATCGTCTCCTCTCTCCCCAGAATTACCTTCCTCTTGTAGATTGGGCCTTTGAGAAGGAGACAGAAGAGACCATTGAACGCGGGCTTGTTAAGATGGGCTGTTCAATGGCTGAGCATGGCACGAGAAATTTGGATGTTTCTGCTGTGTCGGATTTGCAGGGAAAGGCACGATATATGCACATATTTGTCACTAAATAATTAAAATTATTCTGTCGTTCTGTCGTTCCCTTCTCCGTGCTCGGATAACAACGCGTTGTCGAGTTGACAAATGTCACGAAGACCGATCCCCGATCCAGAGTTCAATCTCCGCTGGCCACACTTGATGCTTAATGTGCCGATAGAGATAGAGACGAGAATATACGGGTCCAAGTATTTTTCTCTTCTTTATTTGGTTGTCTTGTTCCAGCATCTTAGTATCTCTTTCCGTAGCTATTGTTGCATTGTCGTCTTCTATATAGTATATTCGAACTAGAGAGAGAGAGAGAGAGAGTGTGCGGACGGGTGTATACGTCACACAGTTCCCTCGACCCGACGAATCTCTCCTTCTCTCTTTCGCTCCTTTCTCTCCGCTTCCAGAGACTCGACCCTGCAAACGACTTGTGGAAAAATAATTCAGAAAATGAGAGAGTTACGACCATGGAAAGATGGGATATATAAAGTATAGGAGAGAGACAGGGACAAAAACAGAGTGAGAGAGGGAGGGAGTTGGCTATGCAGTGAAAAGAATTACATGTTGGCCGTAGCGGAGGTGATGTGACTCGTAGTCATGTATAAACTCTCCCTAGAGGATCTCTTAGACTTAATTGGCCGTCCAAATCAATATCTGCCTGTCCGTTGTCGGCGAAATTGCGACGCTACCTATATATATATATATTTTTTTTTTGTATGTGTATATATATAGATATCTTTTTCTCTCTCCTTCTCACTTTCTCTTTTCCTCGTGCGAAAGAAAGGAAAAGGACAAATCAGAGTAACGGAAAAATAAATCTTATGGAATTGCGTCGTCTTATGGAGCAGAGTCGTCGTTGCGCTTTCTTTCATTTAGCGTTTTATGAAAACAAATATAGTCATGAGCGCACGTTTCTGTTGATTTAAAATATAGTGAGATTTTGAGTATAGAGAGTATGTGTGTGTAGAGGCACGCGTTTCACAGATATTCACCGCTACTTTTCAAAATTGGCGGTGCAATTAGAAAATCTCTTGCGTGTGTAGCGATTTAAATGAAATGCATGGATTCGTGTTCATTTATTTCCTGCCCTGATAACCAATCATTATCTCAGATCCTGCGAACAAGCCGGACTAAAAGTGATAGATAAAAAGTATAACAGTGACCGAGACACCGAGTAAATGTAACTAGAGAGTTTGAGCTTTGATTACCGATACCTTTTTCTCTCCTTTCCCCTCGACGTTACATTTGACGCAGGTGGGCTCGCACACACTAACGGAGATAAGGGAGAGAGTCGATAACGCGTCTTTGGTCGCGATGCATTCGACGATGCCGCGGCACGGCCGAACGACACTATTTAAACGACTACTTAAAATCAAGTAGCGGCCCGATGTTTA